GGCGGGCAGCAGCCCCGGGATGCACAGAGTGCTGTCCATGGATGCAACGCTCGCCCCGAGAGACCCCCGAGCTCCCGGCCAGTTTGGACACCCTGTTGCAGTCCCCGATGATAAACAAGAAGAAGCAAAAAGTAGATGGAAAGAAGGAAACTTTAATGTCTACCTCAGCGATCTGATCCCTGTGGACCGAGCCATACCCGACACCAGGCCTGCAGGGTAAGATCCTCGCCCCTCGCACAAACCCCTGTGCCACACCCTGGGAAGGGCTCGGTGCTCTGGAGAGGGKTTCTGGGGCACACGGAGCCCTTCACTTCAGCCGTGCTACCTGTCAGATGGCTTTTGCCTGYCCAGGTCAGAGCAGTTTGTGTCAAACACGGACCTGGGTAGAGTTTGCAGTTTGCTTTAACCCCTGAGCCCGGCTGCCCAAGGGGGCSGGTGGTGATGGGGCTCAGACCCCTCTGTGCCTTAGGACCCCGTACCTGGGGTGTCCCGTACAGCTCTGGGCACGGCTGGTTCCAGAGTTTCAGGGTTGGTTCCTGGACCCTGCCCCGTCCGTGTTCTGGGCAGCAGGAGCTGCCCGAGGTGTGAGAGTCACAGCCCTGCCCTGAGCATGGGGCACCCCAAGGGCCCTCCTGGCCAGGGGACCTGCGGTGGCTCCACAAACCCCACAGGAGCCGCCTGAGCACAGGAACAGCGCTGTGGTGGCTCCACAAACCCCACAGGAGCCAGCTGAGCACAGGAGCAGCGCTGTGGTGGCTCCAGAAACCCCACAGGAGCAGCACTGTGGTGGCTCCAGAAACCCCACAGGAGCAGCGCTGTGGTGGCTCCACAAACCCCACAGGAGCCGCCTGAGCACAGGAACAGCGCTATGGTGGCTCAGAGCCAGCGCTGGGTTTGCTCTGACAGCAGAGCCCGGAGTTGTGAGCAGGAATTGCCTCCGGGSAGTGACACCTGCCCAGGAGGGGACACGGGAACGCCTTGGCCAAACAGGGCGCGTCCCTGGGACCGGAGCTGCTGCCGCGGGGCACGGAGCCACAGGGAGCTGGGATGATTTTCACTGAGCCAAAACACTTTTGATTTCCTGTGAAGCCCTGAAATACATCCCTTCAGAAGGGGTTCCTGTAGAACCAAGTGAGCACATCCTGTCCCGTGGAGCTGCCCACAAGACGGGCCCTGGGGCTCTGTGGGGTTCCCCTCACCCCTCTGTTCCCCTCCCAGCACTGCAGGGCTTCCCCTCCACATTTCACATTGGCCATTT